TGTTTGCCATCTGTAAGCCTTCTTTGGAGAAACGTCTATTCAAGTTCCTTTGCTCCTTTTTCAATTGGGTTATTTGGTTTTTTGTTTGTTTCTTTTTTTACTATTGAATTATAATAGTTCCTTTTATATTTTAGATATTAACCTCTTATCAGATAGATATATGGTTTGAAAATATTTTCTCCCATTCTATAGGTTGCCTCTTCATTTTGTTCACTGTTTCCTTTGCTACGCAGAAGCTTCTTCCTTTGATGTAGTCCCACTCGCATATTTTTGCTTTTGCTGCCTGCGCTTTTGGTGTCACATCCAAAACATCACTTCCAAGACCGATGTCAGGAGGTTATTCCCTGTATTTTCTTATGGGAGTTTTACGGTTTTGGGTCTTATGTTAAAGTCTTTAATCCATTTTTGTGTAAGTTTAGGGTCCAATTTCATTCTTATGCGTGTGGATATTCAGTTTTCCCAACATCATTTATTGAAGAGACCGTTCCTTTCTCCATTGTGTATTCTTGGAGCCCCCATTGAAAATTAGTTGACCACACATATGAGGTTTTATTTCTGGGCTCTCTATTCTGTTCCATTGATCTATGAGTCTATTTTTGTGCAAGTACCACATTATTTTGATTACCTTAGCCTTGGAATACAGTTTGAAGTCAAGAAATGTGACAACTTTAGCTTTGTTGTTCTTTCTCAAGATTGCTTTGGGTTTTGGGGGTATTTTGTGGTTCTATACAAACTTTAGGATTGTTTGTCCCATTTCTGTGAAAAACGCCATTAAAATTTTGATAGGGATTGTACTGAGCCTGTGGATTGCTTTGGGTAGTATGGATATTTTAACAATATTCTTCCAATCTCTGAACATTTTACAATATATCTTTCCATTTATTTATGCCTCAATTTCTTTCATCAGTGTTTCATAGTTTTCATTATACAGATCTTTCACCTCCTTGGTTAAATTTATTTCCAAATATTTAATTCTTTTTAATGCTACTATAATTAGAATTATTTTCTTAATTACTTTTTTGGATAGTCTGTTGTTAGTGTATAGAAATGCAACTGATTTTTTTTTTTTAATTTGAGCTTGTATCCTGCAACTTTACTGAATTCATTTAATAGTCCTAAAAGTTTTTTGATGGTGTCTTTAGGATTTTCTACATATGAGATCATGTCATCAAACAGATCTTACTTCCTCCTTTTCAATTTGGATGCCTTTTATTTCTTTTTCTTGCCCAATTGCTATGGCTAGAATTTCCAGTACTATGCTGCACAGAAGTAGTGAGAGTGGGCATCTTGCTCTTGTTCCTGATCTTAGAGAAAGAGCTGTCAATATTTCACCATTGTATATGATGCTAGCTATGGGTTGGTCATACGTGGCATTTGTTGAGATACACTCCTTTTATACTTACTTTGTTGACAGCTTTTATAATGAAAGGATGATAAAGTTTGTAAACATATAAAGAAAATATTAACACAACTGAAGGGAGAAGTAGATAGCAATATAATAATAGCAGGAGAATCTAATACCCCACTTTCAACAATGGGTGTATCATCCAAACAACAAAGCAATAAAGACACACTGGACTTGAACTGCACTTTAAACCAGATGGACCTGACAGACATCTATAATAACAGAGGAATACACACTCTTCTCAAGCACACAAGAATATTCCCCAGGATAGATCGTACATTAGGTTATAAAACAAGTCTTAAAAATTTAACAAGATTGAGGGGTGCCTGGGTGGCTCAGTTGGCTAAGGATCCAGCTCTTGATTTCGACTCAGGTCATGATCTGAGGGTCGTGAGATTGAGCCCCTCACTGGGCTCCATGCTGGGTGTGGAGCCTGCTTAAGATTCTCTCCCCCTCTCTCTGTCCCTCACCCCCCTAACTTAACAAGATTGAAATTATATCAAGTACAGTTTCTGATCCCAATGGTGTGAAACTTGAAACCCATAAGAACAAGAAAAGTGGAAAATTCACAAATCTCTAGAAATTAAACAACACATTTGTGAACAACCAATAGGTCAAGGAAGAAATCAAAAGGTATCTTGATACAAACAAAAATAGAATACAACGTACAAAACCTAATGGGATGCAAAAATGATAGGATGCAACCAAAGCAGTTCTAAGAGGAATGTTTATAGCAATAAATGCCTGCATTAGAAAAAACATCTCAAATAAACAACCTAACTTTACAGCTCAAGGAACTAGAAAAAGAACATACTAAGCCCAAAGATAGCAGAAAGGAAATAACAAAGATTAAAAAAATAATGAGACAAAAAAGACAATAAAGAAAGATAAATGAAACTAAATTGGTTTTTTGAAAAGATACACAAAATTGACAAACCTTTAGCTAGACTACCCAAGAGAAAAAGACGGATGGCTCAAATCAAATTACAAAGAAAGAAAGAAATTAAAACTGATACTAGAGAACTGACTGCTATACACACTTACACGCCAACAACTGGACGACCTAGAAGAAATGGATAAATTCCTGGAGACATACAACCTACCAAGACTGAATCACGATGAGACACATAATCTGAACAGACCAATCAGTGAGAAAGGAGACTGAATCAGTAATTAAAAACCTCCCAACAAATGAAAGTACAGGACCAGATGGTTTCGCTGGTGAATTCTACCAAACATTTTAAGAAGAATTAATGCCAATCCTTCTCAAACTCTTCCCCAAAAACTGAAGGAGAAGGAACACTTCCAAACTCATTTTATGAGGCCAGCAATCCCTCATCATATCAAAACCAGACAAGGACACTATAGAAAACTACGGGCCAATAGCCCTGATGAACAATGATGCAAAAATCCTTGACAAAATACTAGCAAACCAAATTCAACAGAACATTAAAACATCATACACCATGATTAGTAGTATTTATCTCCTGGAAGCAAGGATGGTTCAACATATGCAGATCAATCAACATGACACAACAAATTAACAGAATGAAGGATAAAAAAATCCTATGACCATCTCAGTCGATGCAGAAATAGCATTTGACAAAATTCAACACCCTTTTTCTTCCCAAAGATCCCAATATATTAGATCATGAAATGTCTTCCAAATAATCAAAGAAATACGAAATATTTAATTATGAGTGATAAATGTATTTTTATTTTCATTTTTAAATTGATACATGGACATTTCATCAGAAGACTAGGCTGCAGAGGTAACTACCTTACACAACAAGATTACAGAAACTTACTGCATTGGCTTTTCAAACATAAGAGAGACTGTACAAACTCAATGACTTACTTAAGCTTGCTAACGACTACAAATATTTTACTGACAAGCTGGAGTTCAGATAGGGGGAAAACAATTTTTATGGAGGTCTACTCTTTTCGTCTAAGGGATGAGAAATTTATTTCAAAGTTATAAAAATAAGCAGCAAAGAAATGAAACTTCTAGAAGCAACAGTGGTTTCAAATGAGCAGAAATGAAAGGAATAGAATGTTAACAGACAAAAAACACCATAAGTGGAATGAAACAAATCTATTTCTAAAGCTGGGGAATGAGGTTGTAGGTCCTACAAGAGCTGCATGGAAAGTAACTAGATATGCAAATGTTCTTCAGAAGGCCTTGCAGGAAGTAGTGAGAATGTTTCAAATGTAAAACCTACAAGTATTAAAACACCTGGAGACTGTATTCCTGTTTTGGTAAATACTAGATGGGATTTTAAGGTCAGACAAAGCCAGGAGCTCTGCATACTTGAGCTGTTAGGGTAATTCATCAGGTGCAATACGCAAACTGGACTGTGAATATGCTTAGGGCTTATTTTGTTTTTATAGACAGCAACAACTGGCCATGTCTTCTGGGGAGCACGTGTGAGCATTATCTGAGAGTGCTGGGAACCTCCAGAGCCACGGCGTGTGGTGCAGAACAGGCCACTAACTCAGGGTGTGTCTTCTAACCTCTGAATCTAGATTTCTTTCCATTATCGATACCCCATAGGTTGAGTTCAGTACAATTTTGGCCTTGAAATTACAATTCTTAAATTATCTGAGAATTCTTCCATGAAACTTGGAGTATCTAGAACATTTTTAAAAAACAAGAGCCGTTCAGTGCTCTGATAGAGCAAAAAATGAACCCCTCATTAGTGGCATCATAAATTAAGCTTCCTGACACTGAACGACTGCCTCCTCCCCCCACACCCCTACAGGCCTCCTGTCTGATGCCTGGTCTCTGTCGGCTGGGACCCAGGCCTGCCTCTCACGCACTGTTGTCAGGAACTCTGAGCTGGAGCCTGGCAAAAGTGAAATGGAAAGGAGGATTTGGCAGGAACAGACCTGTGGGCCACACACCATTATGATTCCCAGGCAGGGCCAGGCCCTCGACGCAGAGCCGGCTCTCCCGCCAGGAAGGTGAGAAGGCTGTTACTTCTTTTTCTGTATTTATAACTAGAAACAATTCTTGGAATACATAGGGCATCATGTCTCCAATTCTTACAATCTTTACAATCTAGTGTTAAATTTAAAAAAAGCAGGACAGAGTAAGATTCCAACTCACTAAAAAAAAAAAAAAATCAACCACACCTTATAGACACAGATGGAGAAATGAGGGTGAAGACGTTAACAACTGTTTGGGGCCACGGAATCAGGCACAACCTCTGAAAATAAGTCAAGAGAGCACTTTTTTATAGGATACGAGGGAGAAGTCACCAAAAAGGATGATTTTCCTTTCCATGAAAAACTAGGTCTAGACCCCACAGGCCACTCTCTCCCCAAGGACAACTGCAATGCTGTTCTGAGAGCTTCACTCTCAAGGGCGTCCCAGGGCTTTCAGGCCAGACTCCCCGTCCCCTTCTCTCCACATTTTGTCGAGAGGAAGCAAATTTATCTGCAAACCAAGTTAACTTAGCCGCATGTCAGGATTCAACATCTGAATTCTTTTAAAGTTTAGCAACTGATATGAAAGATTTGTTATAAAGACAGATGCTTTACTTCCATCTTTGATAAAACTGATTTATTCTGAGAATGTAAGTGGTGCACTTACCCAGAAGAGGATGAGTATCTTCTCCAATGGTCAGGCTCATACTGTCTATTTCCTGCACCAAAGAGATATGAAAACCAAAACTAAGTTAATTACATTTCTCTAAAATTCGAAGAGAAAAAACTGCACATTTCTAAGTACGTATAAAAACAACATGCTGAGTTGTATTTGGAGGACAGCACTTCATTCTCTTTTCTGTTGTGGCCACTGTCACTAGAAGTTTGTTGCACAAGTATTCCATTAGAGTAGGAAGCAATTAATTAAGAGGTGGCTCTGCTGATAGAAGGAAGCAGTGTCCCAACTGCTCCTCCAAATGCCAGCTCCAACCACCTGCATGGTATCCAGACAGCCCCTGCTGCCAGCGGCACTGGGGAATGCATCCGCATATGCAGATGGCTCACGGAGGACACTTGGCCAAGGACGGAGAAAGCAACGTGTGGCTCTTTCTACAGCTGAGTGCAGAGCCCCCCCGTCCCCGTGTAGCTGGCCACTTTTCACCTTCCGCTACACAGGGAATGTTGGGCGAGGACCAGAAGAGAGCCAACCTGCCAGTAAAATAGGTGGTTGTTTTCACATTCAGAAAATAACACTTTTCCTACAAAGCTTTCCGTGCTTCTGCTTGACTGATGCCCACGCCTCTCCCGCCGAGGGCAGCCTTTGTGGCCCAGCCGCTCCGGCAAGTGCGAGGCTGGCAGGGGCTCTGGCCAAGGGCTGGGTGGTGGGAGAGGGTCACAGCAAGGCCACAGCGAGGTTTCCAGGCCCCACCTTGTTACCACAGATGATCAGAGACAGTTTTACAACAGCCCAGGCCTCCTACAGAATTACCACCGACAAGTGAAAATCTGAAGAAATCACAGGCAAATGTGATTTGCTACTGACTGTGGAATTTAACACATCATTTCTCACCAACAGCAAGGAGGAGGTTAAGATGTTCTCACTGTAGAGGCTTTGAAGTTCCCGGCCCCAGGGAGGCAGGGAGGTTGTCACCTCTGCTGGTCCTGGGTCCCCTCCCCAGTTCACAGGCCAGGAAGCACACGCTTCACAGGGAGGCTGGTGCCTCTGGCCTTTGCCTGCCTGGCCCAAGTAGGCCAGGCTCACAGGGGCGGCCGCACCCGCCGCTGCTCCTCCTCCTCCTCCTCCCTCTTCCTAGCCTCCCTCCTCACCAACTGTCTCACAGTGATTCAATACACTCATTCTGAGGCATTTTTCGTTTGACTTGAACAAAGAATTTTGTCTGTTAACTCTGTCCAGGAAGTATTGACAACTTTCTACTTAGACTACTTACATATCTCTAAAAAATACTAAAATAGGAGTTCAAAGGTGAACATAAGCCCGCAAACGTGTGTGGGCCAAGTAAAAATGATGTAATTCTATCACAGTGATGAAACTAAAAAAGTGGATTACCTGACCTTAAACAATGTTCCAGTTCTAATAAAAGATTCTATGTGTGTGTGAACATGTATCTCATACAGAGATATCTGAAATTAGATAACATATTGGTACCGCCAATGAAACTTTTGTGAACATTTCTCCATGTGAGACAAAACGCAAATGACACATACTGTCCTTGCTTAACTATGGTCTTGCCGGAGACTTTTAATTTCTTGCACCTCCATGCCCAAACTCTTTTTTTTTTTCTTTTAATTTTTTGAGTGCAGCTGACATGATGTTCCATTAGTTCAGGTGGTCGACAAGTGGTTCCGCAAGTCTGTGCGTTCTGTGGTGCCCGCCACGGCCTAACTGCCATCTGCCGCCACACACACCTGACAACACCAGCGACTGCTCCCGAAGCCTGCATCCCCACCCCAAATTCTGAAACCTGATCCTAACTCAGCACTCACCACTGCAATTTTGCCTTTGACCTGAGGTCTCGCAGGGCACGGGTTTCAGCCCCGAGCCCTCCTGCACCACCGTCCCGTCTTCCGTGTGACCACCGTGGTCCTATCCCCTGAGGAGGGATTTCCTGCAAACCAGGACACCTGGGAAAGCATCAGGCTCTGGCTGCTGCATCTGTTATGGTCTCCTTGCTTCTACATAACCAGAACAGAAGAGGGAAGACATGCTTCTCTAGGCCTCGCACCCGGTCTGACAAACATCCTAAGCGTTCCAAATGTTCCCTGAAATTCCGGGTGGTCATGTGCATGGGGGAACGCCTGGAGGCTCTGTCATCTGCTCAGGTCGGGTCACTGGTGAGCAGTGGGTCCTGCCTGTGAGAACCCACTGCAGCAAGCTTCCTCCGGGAAAGAGTAGATATATGAAGACACTTCCAACACTCACTGCTCTGACAGGCTCGAATTCAAGGACCCAGCGGGGCCACTGCACCTGGCTCGACTGGAACCCAGGACTCAAGAGCTGGCAGGACACCAAAGGCTGCCCAGGCTGGATGCTGATGACACGGCAGGGAGCACAGTCCACGGAGCGTCTAAGGGGAAGCATGCACGCATACGTGTCGGCTGCATGCTCCACCACAGGCACACGTCCTAGCCACAGGCCACAGCTGATGTGCTCATCTCCCCGGAGACTCGTGGCCTCTCTCCCACCCGTTGCCGGGCTTAACCTGCAGCCCTCCTCACCCTGAGGTTGTATTGTCTCAGGTTTCCTGAATTCTTGAGACCCAGCAGGAAGAAAAGGAGACAAGCCCAGGCCAGAGGGGATTAAGAGGAATGTCACCATTTCCCACACCAGCGACAGCAGGGACACTGGGGAAGACTTTGTCATCTGCTTAGAGGAAACACGAGGAGTCCTTAGAGGAGGACTATGTACGCCCCGTCATGCCAGGCTGCCTGGAAGATGTCTAGCATGCCTTCCCTCACCCTGCTTTCCTGAGCTAGGTGGGTGCCTTCTAATCCTCACCTAGAGGGGCCAGGGTCGCAGGTGTCTGACACCGCAGCTTCAAGGGTGACAGGTACCCAGGGTCCTGCTACTTAAACATACCTGGGATGGGATATCCGGACAGACAGGGCTGGGACCCCACTCTGCTCCCAGCCCATCACACGCTTATATTTCAAACACAGGATTGGTACCTAAATTCAAACCCTGTTAGTATTACAAAATAGGAGCTTTGTATTGAAGGTGTGCGGGCTCTGAGCTCTACGGGGCGGGCTGGTGACTACGGGAATACCTACTCAGGACGGACACATGGAGTATCTTGTTTGGAATGAACTCCAGGGCTCTGACCAATGTTGTGAGGCCCTGGAAGGTCTGCTCCTTTGCTGTCTGCCCAACTTTACCTCCCATGAGCCTCCCTCCCACTGACCCTTCCAGCCACACACGGCTCGCTGGTGCCCTGCCTTCTGCACATGCCCCTCCCTTAGGCACCCCGAGGGCTGCCCTCTGAGATACCCACTCACTGTGTGGACGCGAGTCCACAGCAATGGCTGTCGCAGTCCGAGTCGAGGTAAGCTGACAAACCCTCTTGTGGCCTCTGGGTTCCCTGTTGCAGTTTAGTTCAATAAACCGCAGCTCCTTCTACATTAAAAGCAATCTCAAAAATGCTTGAGGTGATGGGGAAGGGATTCGCCCTCAACTAATTTAGGCCGCTAGCATCAACACTCAGATCTGGGTGGAGTCACCGCGTGCCTATCCTGGACGAGGTGGGGGGGGGGGCGGGATGCTGCTCCGCCCCCTAGGTTGACTGTCGAGGAGCTTCAGGTGACAGTGGGTGTCAGGACTGGCTAGGTGGACTCTGTGGGGACACCTACAGCAGCTGTAAATCTTACAGAGCTCTTCTCTGTCCCCCAGGGTTGGGCATTAGAGTGGACCCCCAGATTTCTGCCAGAACAAGAGGCAACCGACCGGGAGAGGCTCAGATTCCCCTCAGCAACATCCCAAGTGGTGAGATGCAGTGGCCACCACACAGGCCGACCGGGACACGCAGCTTTGCTTAATGACAGAGACTCGCTGTGCTTTAGGGTAATAATGTGAGTACTCTGTGAAATCTCTACACATTTCAGAGCTTGCAAAAAACTAAATTAAATTAAAAGTTTGTTTGTATTTGCAAGGATAAAATTGTAAATTTAGGTAATATAAAAGTCTCTACATTTGGGCTTTGAAAACGAAGGAATTTTGAATTTAAATACTGATGAGGTTTTCTCTGTATTTAAAATGTAAATTACTATGTATTAAATTCAGCTTTATGCATGAAAACCAGACATCTGTACTACACACCCAAGAAGTAAAGAATTCATTTTATTTCCTTCATCACCCAAAAGGGTCTTACGTATACAAGCCAAATCCCAGAACATATCAAAATGCTCTTTCTTCATTAGAGGGATGCATTGCATGAAACCTTCACAAGAGCCTTTCTTTAAGCAAATTATAAAAAAATAGGGTCTTGAACAGATGAATGAATTGACAGAAAACGAAGTGGCAAGGAGCAGAGATAGACCAGCACGGAGCTTGGAAATTCTCTGTCTCTACCTCACTCAGCAATGAAATGAGAGTATCAGCAGAAGCACGATGCCAAGACAACACCATCGTGAGCAGTCCATGGCCGCCGCCTCTTACCTGGTCCCTGGTCCCTCCAGTGCTGTCCTTGGCCTGCCCGGCTGTGCCCGGAGCTCGTCCTGTGGGAGCCGGATCCCTGCCTCCCCCACCTGCCTGTGGGGACACGTGATCAGCACGTTAGGAGGCTACCACATGCCTCACCCCAAGTGACACATTACATCTAAGAGGGTAGCAAGGCGGCACCAGGTCCACAGTTCTCGAGCTTCGGTTTCCTTAAATCACAGGAAAGCCCATGAAAAATGTGGACTGGGGGGCCACAGCTGGGATGGGAGGTGGACGTCTGAATTTAAACATGTTCCCCCAGAGGACCCATGCAGGTGACAGACGAGCAGCCTGGCAGACGCTGGGCCAGAGCAGGGCCCTTGGTAGTCGGTTCTGACTGACCCTGCCTCCCGAGGGCAAGGGCCCGACTCTGCAGACCACCAGCGCTTGGGCTCTGGGCGAGCAGGGGTCCCGGGACTCTGAGAGCCAGACCATGGTGTGCCCTCCTTTCGATTCTCCACACACTTAACCACCCTGAAGTTTCCTCTCTGAAATTCCTGAGCTCTGACACCTTCTACCCCTTGTCTCGACTAGAATTTAACATGAGAAAGTCTGACTAAGCTCCTGCCAGCTGAAAGCAGCCTACAATTCTGCTGCCTGCAGCTTCTGCTGAGGAACCCGAGGCACTGGGCATGCAGGACAGACCGCCAACCAGTTTGGGCAGAGGCAACAGAGGCAGAATGCTGCACATCTATTTTGCAAGGAATAAGCTCTTGCTTTGGGGTCTCAAATCCTGCCTATCCTCAGTTGGCAGGAGAAAACTAAAGGGTAGACAAAAGGACAGGACGAGGCGGGAGTCTGTGACTCCTGGGAAGCAGGGAGGAAGCCCCTCTCCTACCCCCCAGACTCTCCTTCAGGCAGGCCCTAAACCTGGCACCTGACAATGACCTCACTGTCTCTCAGAATGAGACCTGCATGGCTGATGGCCAGCAGAGCCCCTGAAGACAGTCTGGGGGGTAGGAATCAGGGGGAGTTCTCTAACTCTGCCAAGGAGAGAGAGGGAGCTGCTATAGTGAGAGGCACGGATCCTAACCGAAGGAGGACATGAAATAATTCAACTCATCAACCAGCTGATCTATAAGACAGCCAACTTCCCTAATAAAGAATCATCCGGTCGATAAGATACACTGTTTCATCTCACACGTTAGTTAAAACATACTGGTGAACGCAGCGGAAGCGCCTCATCACTGGTGAAGGCGTAGAGGTGAAGGTTTTTAGAAAACAAGTTGGCAACATTTATCTAAATTTGACTGCAGGTTGACCTATAGTTCGTAAACTATGGTGCTCTGTTTTAAGGAAATAATGTACATAAAATGGGAAAAAATGGAAGCCACTTCTCAGCTGGAGTACTAAGCGTATGTGCACCACTGTTGGAGGGGAGTATGGACAAGCAGGATGCACAATCGCACAGAAGATCATCACGATGAGATAAAAGCACAGAAAAATAGTGCAAAAACGCATTAGCTGTCCACATTTGTGCTCCTGACAGAATAAAGGTTATTTCTATTTCCTTTTAACTGTTTTCTTTCTGTGCTAAGTTTTATTACGAGAAGAAAGAGAGCCCACGGGGGCGTTCTGCGTCACGGGATGAGCAGGGGCGCCCTCTGGGAGACACCTTTCCTCAAGGGACCAGAACTGAAACTGCTAGGTAGCAGCAAGCGTGGTAAGTCTGCGTCGTATCCCAACCTCCCAGGCTGCTGCCGGAGTCCTGCACTGTAAGGCCAGCCCCGGCAGGGGTGGGGGCCCGCAATGCCCACCTGGCTGGGGTGAGCGCCAAAGCTGCCTGCTAATGATGCGTCTGTTCTCCTTCACACACGCCTTGCACACGACCGACTTCAGTGCATGGAACTTGGTCAGCCGGGACCTCTGCAAACAGAGCAGACGGCGTGAGCAGTGGCAGGCCTGTGCACGCACTCAGGAGACACAACAGTGCCACGGTGTCCAAGGACGCTGGGTGAGCGTTTCCTTCAACACTGAAACTTAACAAGAGGTTCTCAGAAAACTGACATTCTCCTGAGTCCCCGGGGAAATAACACTAGTGCTACATCCCTTCTGGTCTTCTGTAGGTTAAACAGTCACTTCCAAGAGGTCTCCGAGTTCTGTGGTGACATCTGGGCCATGACCACACAGTCCTTCCAAACAAACCTGGGCCGGTCATCTGGGTCCTCAGCCCCTCAAGTGGTGACACCTCAGAAGCAGCAGCAGCGGGGCGAGGGGCGGACCTGCCCCTCCGGGCCACTTCATTTACTGCTGACACGTGGCCCCATCTGCCCGAACCTGCGGTCACCCTGTGCGTGACCGAACATCAGACACGGGGCCACAACTGGGGGTTTGCAGGTGGTGACTGCAGTCTGCTCTGCTCTGACCCTTCCCCACTCCCGAACATGGGGACAAGCCCGATCTGAGCAACACGCTCCCTCATGACCCTACCGCTGTCTGCACACAATACTAGCTGCTCCTAAATCCCAAAGGACACCCTGGGTTTTTGTTTGGTTTTTGTTTCTCTCCAAATGTTTTGTCTGATGTGAAGCTCAGGATGCTTTATCCTCACGGATGGTGACTGTTCTGCGGGCCGCAGGGTCTCGCGCATACTTGCAGCTATTATAACGTGCTCCAAGTGAGCTTGGCGGGAGCCCTCCTTGGAAACCTCCCAGGAATCATGGAGCCTGGACATCGCATAGCCAACATCCCCAGCTAAACCAGCAGCCTTCAAGGGATATTTTCAAGTAAATACATGGTTATTGTTCCTATTGAATTAGTCTGATGTCTGCAAAGGCACCTCTGGGGAAACATTCCTTCTTGATTCAAGAAGGGTTAAGGGAGAGAAAGCACTTCAAGAGGGGGCCGCGGTGGACTGGGTGGGGTGCTCCCTGCCATCCCTCAGCAGGAGTTTGGGGACTCAAGCCCTATGGCAGTATTTTGGGAGAAGCTATGGGATATGCTGATGCTGAACCTTTCGGCCTCCCAACCCATGTTTCTGCCTTCCTGGAATAATGCAACCCTCTATCAAAAGAGCAGTAATTCCAACCATGTAATCAACAGTGAGTGTAAACTGGGTAAAATTTCAAAGTCTGGGAACATGTCTGTCCTCAACTGGGACGTTTCTGGGAGGCATGTTTGCTGGGACAGAGAGAACTCATGTCTGGCCAAGGACTCTGAGCATTAGGATGCATTTGAGCACCTGACCTCAAACCTACTGTTTCTGAATGTGAAGAAACTGTGAACTCACATTTTGTTCCACGAGAGCCTCCACGGTATACCCCTTCTCCGCCTGCAGGTACTTCTGATGAAACAGCTTCCCGTCAAATACATTCCAGGGCATGAAGTCGCTCATCCTCCAGGGGAAGCCGCACGCGCTGTTGACCAGGACCAGAGTGGTGAGACCGCGGACCAGGAGGGAGCCAAGCTGCACAGCTCGGGGGTCGATGTAATCAGGCTGTGGGGTGCAGACAGAGAATGGAAAGGAGCAGTCATGCACATGGGGACGCAGACACGCTGTACCTCAGCGCTACACGGCAGCCACCTGGTGCCGTGCCCACCAGCCCCCATGGGGAGCCCCTCTGGTCACAGGGACACGAGGGGCAGCTGCATCACGAGTGTGCACGCTCATGTGCACACCCTCTGTGCACACCCCAGACATCTGCCCAGGCCTGTGTGTACAACTCAGAACTGCCCCTTCACATGTCAAAGCTGCAGTCCACCAGGAAAATATTGCAAGCTCATCTGCTTCGGGTGTACTCGGAAAAACTTTCTTTAAAAGCAAAGCAAAGGAAGAGAAGCCAAGAGAGTACCGTCTGAGATACTGATGAGCTCACTGTATTCTTTTTTTTTTTTTAAATATTGTCATTTCTTTTTTTTTTTTTAAAGTTTTTTTTTT